AGGAAGCACAACACCAACGGCCTGCACTTGTGCTTTGGGTTGACCCTTCGTCACAACGTGAAACTGGCAAGGGAAGGGGCTACGTCGTCCAGCGCGGTACACAACGCGACACGCTTCAGGGCAACTCTGCTTCCACACATTGTATCCCCCTGCGCGCCCTACTTTCTCCACCTTTGAGCCATTGGAACCGCGCCGCTGTTAGCACTCCTCCGTCGCTTGCCATGTCCTCGGTGATCGTGAGAGTGGCGGTAAGAGTCTCCACGGCCTCCCTGCGTGTGAGAAATGCATCACTATTGTTCGAATTGATCACATGGCTGGGAGAGAAATTCTCGTCCTCGCGAACGGAGATGCTTAAAATTCAGAGCTTTCCTGGAGGACCTTGATGCCAACCGCAAGGGTTGTCATTGCTGTTATACATTATCCTACACGTCAACAACGGCGCTGCTTCTCAACGGCGTCACACGGATGTGCGGTTAAAGTACTTCAGCAATTTCGAGGACGTCCTGCACGTCCACGAAGCTCATAGTTCATCAGCAGACGTCAGGAAATCCCCTGCAAGCCTTATCTTTGGACGAATCCCTCTAGCGGTCTAGAGTAAGCGTATAGTTTCTCTGTCATGCTACCCTTCTTCCAAAGTTTGTTCGCCCGTAAAGAACGGGCCTGACCTGGTCACTTGCCTCGATATTCCCTTGTTTGGCTCTGCTTTTCGGTGGTATCCGCTCCGGAACTGTGCAGTCTCTACCCAGTGCACGGGTGATTCTTCGGAAAGTACTACTTCGCATATTGGTATTGGGATTGCTTTTCCAACCACATCGTGTGTTGATTGTGGTTCAGCTTTCCAGTCAGTGGAGTAGAGGCTCCGCTTTGGTTTGTTCATTTAATGCAATTTCCCTTGAGCGATTTTGCCTTGGCTTCGAGGGTGGGTTCTGAAGAAGGAGTGCTGAATAGACGTGGGGACGATTATTGACTCAAGGACGACGACAACAACAACAGCAACAACAAACAAACTGTGTAAGAAGCGCGTACGAATGGTTGCCAGTATCGAACCGACATGGGCGACAACTTTCCGCAGAGCAAACATCGGAAAACGTCCCGCGGTGCCACTAAGGTCTACCTGTCCACCATCTTCGCCTTGCCGTGGAAGTAAAGTAACGCCATGGCCACGCCGAGTTCGACATCGTGCTTGGACCGCAGGTTCTCCATCTTTCGAATCGCCTCAGGTATCAAGCCCTCCATGCCCAAAGCGAATGCTGGTTTCAGAACGACAGCGGTAGGGGTGAATCACACTCTGCACATATTACCATCTAGGACAACACGATAAAAAACATCAAAGAACGTAGATCTAAGAATTACCATGCTACCAAATGTGTGTGTGTGTGGGGTGGGGGGGTGGGGGTGTAGTGCGCCGCATTCCATTTATCTGACAGGCTTCTGATGTTTCGGGTATATACGATTGTTTCCACCGTGGGTTGTATTGCTTATGGGGGGTGTCATCCTATGTGGATGTGTTGTTTGTGTAGAACCCAGTACTTCACCCGTTCGATTGCCGCATCCCGTGCCATTTCCTTTTTCCTACTTACCCTTGGCCGTCCAAGATACGTAGAGGACGCTTGTCTTGCCCGGTGGTAATTCCGTTGAGGGTGTGTTGTTGGTCTCGTCTGTGGAACTGTTGCTGAATTCGAACCTAAGATTTAATTCTGCAGGCTACAGCGGTAGCTATCATAGTGTACGCAATGACGCGTGAATCCCAACCACTTGTTCTGTAACAATATCCAACGCACGAAACACGTGTCTTGTGATACTCTAATGCAGACGTTTTTTGGCGACACACGCTCATTGCAACTGCAGTAGAATCGAAAATTTAATCGTACACGCGATGAACTCAGGCTCTCGAAGTTGACAAAAGCTCGATCTTAATGCTCAGCAGCTCAAGTATTCGATCTAGATTAGGCTATCAGTAGGCGTAGGTTTTACCTTCCCAGTAGAGGAGATACGTGTCATTTCCCCGGCGCTGTATCTGCTCACTGGCCTCATCAGCGGCATGTTGATACAGCCCTTCCCTCAGGTAGTAGTTGATGAGGCTTTTGTAGTCCGTCTGGGAAGCCGTAAAGCGTACGTGCGGTTAGCAGGCTGTAGTTGAAGTAATGTAGACTAGAACGTTCGGGATCTGCGATGCCGTTGTCTGCTGTAGGTTAGTCTACTCATCTACGAGCTTATTCTGTAGTCTCGAGCGGTGTAAGATGGTGCTGCCCGCCGTCGGTAATTGCACTGACTGTAGACTTGTCTACAAGTAGACTCAAATATTTATTGGCTTGTACATATGTTGACTGATGGCCCCTTGCGTTTGGGTGACGAATCCACCACCACTTTTCCTTGTATCCAAGCTGACGTACGTGAAAAATAGGCCATGTCGGCCTCGGCACTACGAGGCTACGTCGTGTAGTACCGCGTGAGTGGCATCAATTGCGCAGGCAATCCAGCAGGTAGGTCCACGGCATACGGGCCATGAGGAGGTACAGGGATGTCTACTCGGTATATGTTCAAGATCGTATGTTGTCTCACCAACGTGTGATTGTAACGGCGAGAGGTTACTGAGAAATGAAAAAAGAGGGATCCTCTGCTTCTGCATCAAAGCTGTGTCTAAGGCAGCTGCAGCAGAGGGCACACCTTCAACGTAGCGCTATTACCACCGATGCCGGCACCAGCACTGCTCGAGCTTTCTCTCCTGACGGCGCCGTACATGCCTTGTTTCTCTCGTTCGTGACTCGCTGGCACCTTGTCGAGGAAGAAGGAGAAGCGAACCAAGCCTTTACCAGAGAGGCACAAAAGGTAAGACCTTTCCCTCTCCCCCTCTCTCTCACGGCTCTGCGTACCCTCTCCTTCTCCGCCGTCGCCGCCGCCCAAGACGCGGCGGGGTTATTGACGGTTTCATCCCGTCAGACACCATGTAAGGACGGAACCAACATGCCTCCACATCAGGGATCGATCATTCGTTGCTGGCATCCTGGGCATCTACGGAGATGATCAGGCAGCCCGGGGGTGTGGGCCTTTTTGGTTGTGTGTGTGAGTCATCACGAGTCTACCGCCCATTGCCGCCCCCACAACGTACGTCGAAATCGGTTGCAGGCGTCGGGTCACAACTTGGGGCATCGAAACCCATACATATAGCCGGGGAGGAAGCACAATGCGATTCCTCAACAGCAGCAGTGGCTGCCCACTGGCAGTGTTGCTGGCAGTTGCTCCTGGTCTTCACGAAGGGCAAGCGTTTGTTCCTGCCGTCTTGACCTCCTCGAGAGTAGCAGCAACAACTTCGTCCCCTCTCCACGCACCAAGGAAGATGCACAGTTGTAGCAGGAGGGAGGCAGGGCGAGGCGGGCTGAAGATGTCCGTGCAAACACCCCCGAAGCCCAAGGAGCCCGAGTTCGCAGAAGGTCGTGTTGCAGATGAGGAGCTGCTTAGCGTCCTCGAACTAGCTGGCCGGAAGGCAGCGGCGGCTGGGTTCCTCCCGGTGCTTGGGGCGAAGGTCAAAGAGGAGCAGGACATCATGTGGAAGCTCAAGGTGCGAATCCCAACGTCCCTCTCGTCCTCCGGGTTGCTGTACTACACACAGAAGAAAGTGTGCAAAAGTCAGAATCAAGCCAGCGAATGGAAAATTGATTGCTGCGAAGATGGCGGCGTCACCCGGCTGGTAAACGTATGTGATGGACGCCGCTTCTGGTGGCGTCTGCATTCGGTAGAAAAGACGCGCGATTAGTTCTGAACCTCTGTCCAGAAGAAAGGGGGAGAAGGGGGTATGCGTGGCACAGCTTGGGTACATTGGTTTCGGTCTTTTCGATCTTGACGGGCTGCTGATACACGGTGGGAAAAGATCGACAACACTGAAACGGGAAATAGCGCTGTCTCGCTGCTGTTGAGTCATCCGCGTCTGTAGCTGCGTAGCCTCCTCTAGGGCACGAACAGATACCTGCGTGCACCAGATCGTCTCGGTTTGAAGGACCAGGGTAAAAACGCCGCATTTCTTCGTCGTGCCCGTTCAGTCCGTGGATATTCAAGACACTGCTGTGAGACGTGTTTTTTTTTTTCTCACCGTGTGACATAACATTTCCACCTCCATCGTTTACAGATGGCGCCCGCACTTAACCCCTTTGGGTCTCCGCAAAAAAAAAAAAGAGAAGAGAGAGTGCGGGGAGAGACAAGTACAGCAGAGAAGACGAGTGTACTTCTGTAGACGCAACCGCTATCTCCACGCATAGGCCATGAGGGCTGCCCGCGACAGGACGGTGGACACAGACAGAGTCATAGAAGGGTTGATGTGTGGTAGCGGTGCGGCCGGTAGGGCAGTTTAGGCTTGTAGACCTCGAAAACATCAGTCAAGCCGCGTGCACTGGCCTCTCTATTTTCAGTATATTCAAATGATCAGTGAAAATGATCAGTGAGAGGGCTTGTAGACCCATACTGTAGCTGTTTCTTGTACTTCTGTACTTCTCTGTCCCCTCCCCAATGTGAGCCCTGCCGGCTCACTACAGCTCCTGTGATTTCCCACAATTCCCACAAGCACGCAAGCACACACCAGCACACACCTGCCTTTGCATCAGTGGCTCTCTAGGTTCGGGCGAGGGTATGTGTGGGGCTATGCTGATAGTGTATGTGTTACTACCTACTCTGCTGTAAACGTTAGACTCGTCTAGTCTATACGGCTGCTGCTGTGTAGAATAGCCGCTGACATGATGGCTGTGCTGGATCTTGGGAGTGTACGATTTTCGAATTTGGAGGATATATGCAGCATACCACGATATCCTGGCCTGTTTGGGCTTGAAGTGCCCCTTCTCGCTGTCCTCCTGTCTTTGCTTTAGTAGCTTCCTAGATTCGGGCGAGGGCATGTATTTGGAGCTATTGATGTGTCTCTGTGTAAAGGATATATATGGGGAGAGGAGAGATTCATGGTGGTATTTGTATTTAGAGCAGTGTGCATTTTCCTTATTCTGGCCGTTCCAGGGACATTGATATTTCCCGCTGGCACGAACGTCTTTTATTGGTCACCGGGTAGCGCGGTCGTGCGAATAATAAAGACACACCTACCTATTGACTTGCCAACACCTGGTGTGGAGGGATACAGGGCGGCAACTCCATGGCATGCCACAAAACCAGCATTTACAAGTGATCAATGATCTGCCAGGACGCCTGTAGACCCACAAGGGTTAACAACCTCTAGTTTCGGCCGAGGCTGGGGTTCTTATTTTGCTGATCATCCTCTTGTGGGCTACAAATGGCCGCTATGTTGGTTTTAGTGTGGGGTTGTTAACCGAGCTCACAAATGGTGCTCAAGTTCTTAGCTTCTGATTTTTTGCGAGTCTCAATTTCTTAACTAAGTTCTGAAGTGCGGACGCTATCTGTAGTCTAAATAGATTCGCAATGAGTGCTTGTTTGTGACGCATACGTGGTACACGCGTGGTTTGACCAAATACCACAGGCTACTCACGGGTGTGACGCATGATGACGTTTGATAGTTGTCTTATACCGTTCATTGTAATTTTAGCTCTTTCGCTCCTACCTCTCTTTTTCGTTGGTGCATGGAAAGGAAACTGGGTGAAGAAAACATACCACGCGGTATCGAGTCAGGCGTAAAACTCTGACGCGGGCACAGCTGAAGACTACAAGTGTGCGGAGGAAGCACGTGCGATAGGACACGATTGTATCATTGCCCAATCATTGAACAGCAAACACCAGAGTGCTGCTCGTGTAAGGCAATTTTGAGAGGTTCTCCTCTCATTTTAGTCGTTAATTGTGGTCTCGTTACAACACCTAAAGACATACCTACAATAGTACGACGTCCAGGAGGTAATGTTTTGGCAAAATGAAAAATCCAAAAAAGAACTATAGAGGCCATACAGCACCACACATTTTGTTGTTTTTGCCCCCTTTCTAGCACGTACCACAACGATGAATCCGTGTGTATGCGATATCGATTCGGGAAAGAAAGTCCACACTTCCCCTTATGTGATCCCGGGCAAAGGGTCCAAAGCCTATATCGGAAGGTGTATATATTGAAGTCTCGAATATACGGGACGGCACACACAAGCACTTCGCCTGAGAAGCTAGAGCTATAAACCACGTCAATGTTTGGTGTCCTCGTGAATGATTCAAACTCGCTGGCCCTCAAACGTGCATTTCCGGACTCCAGATTGTGCTTCCAGCACCGAAACGGTAGCCCGAAGGCCACACGCAGCAGCAGGAACGATGGAGAAGAAAAAATTAGCACATGTACCTGATATTTACGTTCCTCTTGTGTGTCTCCGGCGAGTGTGTCACGCATACACCGGAACGTGTAGCCCGGGCCGGGGATGAGTTGGAAGCCCGCACAACACCACATAAACAGAGCAGGGTAGAGATGGCAGACTTTGGCATCTCTACCCACGCTGAGACGAACGTTTTTTTCGGTGGCCGTTCGTTACGGCGGTCGGTGCGAACTCAAGAGGGGGGCATAACGCTGACCTTGACATGTTCTGGGCTTGGCAACGGATCGTGCCCCGCTTTGGGAGGCCGTATTCGTTGCTAGCTCGCACTGGCGTAATTCCATTGGCCAGCCGGCTGGCGCGGGCGATGGTGTAGTTGAACGTACACGCACGTGGCATACCGAGGGAACCGGCAGACTGGAACGAGAATCGCAACGATTGGTCCCAGTTCAAGGCGGACATCTGTTGTTGGTCAGACGGGTTAGCACGGCCGATGCTAGCTTTTGATGCACACTCACACTGGCACGCGCAGAATGCGCGCGTTGTTTTCTCCCGGCACAGTATCAAAATATTTTCATTGGTGGCACGATTGATGCGCGTCGTAGACACAGAACGTGTACCGACGGGCTGGAAATTGTTCCTCTTGTTTTGTCTGGCTACACAACCGACCGCCATCATTGGCCAGCCGGCTCGCACAGTTAGGGGTGTCAAAGCGGAAAATGTCCCATAGGAAAAAATTCGAAAAAGCGTCCTCGGATCTTGCTGATGGAAAATCGACCGACCAATGAAATTGCACGAAACCGTCGGAACCTCCCGGAAAGACCCTCTGACGCACACGCGCGAGGGCGCGGCTCGCCTGTGTGCTTTGCGGCCTGCTATGTGGCACAGCACAACACCATTGCGCGGTCCCACTCTAGAACACATGCCTCATGACACACCCGAGCAGCAGCCGGGCGGTGAAGCCACGCAGACACCTGCCGCCGCCGCTGCTGCTGCTGAAAAAAACAGCAGCAGCAGCAGCGGCGGCGGCGGCGGCGGCAGCGAGGTTGAGCCTGGCTCTCTTCCACAATTTTCTTATTTTTGACCAACTCCTCCTTCGTTTCCTCCAGCGTTCTCTCTACGACGGTGAGGCTGCCGCGTTCGATAGCGCGCCGCGTGTTATCTTCTGCTGACGTGGCAACCATAAACTGCCCCGTCCTCTCTTCAAACTTCGTTTTGTGTTGATTCAGCTTTCGCGCAGCGCGCCTCCTGCTGCCGAACGGCGCGGGCCTCGATTTTTTTTTTGGGAGGGTCTGCTGGTGTGGGCACTGCAGCCCCCCTGGAGGGGCCGTTTTCAGACAAGTAGATCTCGTGGTTGGCTGATGCGATTCGGATGCGGTTTGTTGTGTGGTATAGCTGTAAACCCAAGGTAGAGGGCTGTAAGCTCGCTTTGTCGAGAGGAGCAACGGTCGCCTTGGGCGTGGAGCAAAGAGCCCCAAAAAACATGTTTTTTGGTGTTGTTCGTCCGCCGTTTAACTTGAAGAGAAAACCGAGCTTACAGTTACCTCTATTGGACCTGTGTCCAGGTGTGTGTAACGCATGAAGAGCCATGCTGCTGTCTGGGCGCAGAGCTGCCTGTACAAACAAATTGACTTGATGTATAGTTTCTTCAGTATTAACAGCGGGATTCTCAAGAACCAAAAAACGAACCAAATCCGCGTGCCCCCCTCAAATTTTGCCGAATGGACCGGACGTTTTTTTGGCCCCAAATTCCGCCGCTTTAACACCCCTAACAGTCAATGCTAGCTTGAAGACCACAAATGTAGTTTTAAGACCACACATACAGACTCACGTCTCTTACCGGTCATGAAGGGCCGATATTGAGTAACAAATGAACCGGCCAAATAATTCACGCACAGGTTAGCCCCGAAGACGTGCTGGCGTTCGCCGACCGGGCTATCGACACCGCCGAGGACATCTTCATGCACGCGACCCGAGCCTTCAAGCCCGCCGCCACGATGAACCTCCCCCTGCAAGACGGGGAAGACGCGCCTCCGCTGACGGCGACGAAGAAAGAGAGGATTGTGGTCCTAGGGACGGGCTGGGGCGGACACGCCATCAGTAAGGTGGGGAGGAAGGGTGAGGGTGGTGGATTCTGCGGGTGATATCCCGAAGCCTTAACAAGTTGGTAACGAAGGTCTCTGCGGGTGTGGAAAAGAGTAGTCTCCTTGAATGTGTTGTGTCGGAATGGAAGACGACGAGTGGTAGGGTTAAGCGAGGAACGAGGCTTTACTGTCGAATAAACCCTCGCGAAAGTGCAGGGGTGCTGCCCTTTGCCGCTCTGGGCGGTCTGATCGTGGCCAACGTATTGAACAGGGGCTTGGTGCCAACGCGCGGGATGGGCCTTGTCTGCTTGCTACTTGCGAAACAGAAAACCGTTGCCTGGCCACCTCCTGCTTCCACCGCCTCCTTGTTCGATCGAGATGACCGATAGCGACTAGTACGGTGACTTACGCGCCAAACAGCAAAGTGCTGTCTCGATTCCCCCTGCTTCCGCTGCTCGATTCAGGTGATTGACAGCGACAAGTACGAGGTGATTTACGTGTCGCCGCGCAACTACTTCGTCTTCACGCCCATGCTCGCCGCGGCATCCGTCGGCACCGTGGACGTGCGGAGCATCACGGAGCCTATCAGAATGGCCAACCCTTGCGTCAAGTACGTGAGCGGGGAGGCCATCGACATCAAGCCCGGAGACAAAAAGGTTTGAGGGTGTTACGGCCAGTTCAAGAGTACGTCTTCCTGCCTCGTGCCACGTTTGAGTAAATCCGGTGTTTGTATCTCAGGAGTTTGGGTTGCTCGTGTGCTGAACCTTTGTCCTTTATAGTTAGACCACGCACCTTTGGTGCTTTGGCAGAGTCCTTGAGACGCGTGGCAAAAACGTTGTCCGCGTAAATCGTTGTTTCTCTGATTGGGCAACACGCCGCTTCTTTGTTGTTCACTTGCAGCCACACCAACCGATGCGTCTGGTCGGTGCTAACTCGCTGCGGTGCCGTTGTCTTCTTTTCCCCGGTGGTTACGTGGTCCCCCCCCCCCCCCCCCCCCCCCCCCCCCCCCCCCCCCC